ATTATGGGAGAGACAGAATTATGGGAAGAAGTTGGCATCAAGAGAGAAGGTAGACACAAATGTATACTGGAAAGGAGGGAAATGTTAGAATCTGAGGCCAAAATGAGAGAGCCTTGAAACTGTGGGAATAAAGGCTTAATGGGATATACAGGCAAATCAAATACAGGAAGCCATATTGTGGGAAGAATGTAGGAGAGACATACAAGGGCATGATGGGAAAGATAGTAACTATAGGAACACAAAGGCATCGTGAGAAAAACACAGAATTGTGAGTATACGAAAGCATCATGGGAAGAATTGGGAAATGTGGGAAATTGAAGTCCTGGTAGGAGAGACAGGAAATTGTAGGGAAAAGAAGTACAACAATAGAGTTAGGGAATTGAAGAAATAGAAAGATGTCACATGATAAAAGGAACAGAGGGAACTAAAAGCCTTAATGGTAGAGAGGGCAATGTTAGGGACAAAAGGCATTTTAGTGAAAATAGTCAATTGGGATAAACACCTGGGATCTTGAAAAATGGAAGTTGGAGGTATAAGATATCATCATGGGGACACAGTGAATGATGACACACCAGAGCATTGTGGGAGACACATGGTTTGTTGAAAGCAGAAGGCCTACTAAGAGAGAAGCATTCTGCTAACAAAGTGCATTTACTGTATAAATAATTTTCAAAACCTAAACAATGTGTAAGGCATCAAAAAAAATAGGCTGGTTATTCAAAGTATGACCCATCACCAAATATGAGTTTTGCTAGGAATACTAGCAGTGGTAGCATTTCTTCACGGAATTAGAGGCTTTACTCCTCTAACTCTTGTTTCTACAAATGACAATGCCTGAAACAAACAAATTTCTCATTACTGCCTCCCTAAAATTTGACTATAACTCTTCAATCATCTTCTCACTTCTAATGACAAAATTCCTTTTATCTACTATGCTATTAATCAGTGTAAATGCTCTTCTCCATATCAACTCTTATCAACTGCCTATTGACTTAGAGAACTTTCAACAGATTTACTGTACAATCTTACTCCAAAACCACTTCACAGATAAATTTGGCTGTTGTAAAAAAACAAAAACCTCTTGATGATGGCTGTATGTGTCCTTTCAACATTAGGCTTTATTGTAGAAACACAAAACCTATAATTGTATGACCCTACCACCTTACACAAATTTAAATGTTAGGATATTTCCTATCCACCATGTACTGCCTACCACTTCATCATAATCAAAAATTAGCACCATGGCTACTAGAAATGTCTATAAACAGAAAGATCTGACCAAAAACTACTTGTAAATTCCAAAGGAGAGCCCATATACAACTTTCTCATCTTTTAAAAACCTGACGAAATTTTATTTTTGTCAGGTGAATGTCATATTGATCTTCAGTCTTGTATCAATGAGTTCTATAAGTACTATCTATTATAACTTGTCACCAATTAAATGTGATCAACAATTACTGGCCATGTTACTGCTGTATATTGAAGCAATTTCCATAGGCTCCTCCCTAAACACTAAGAATCTCCAGTATCATAAGCAAACACTGCTAGTAATCACCCAAAATAAATGAAAATTACCATTTATTGATCTCTTGGGGCTCTAGCTTCTAATTCAGGAGTTCACAAAAACACTGTATGTCTCTGTTGCATGAGGATGATCGACAGGTGACCTGAGGACGGCAAGGGAAAGGGCTAACTGAAACGTTGAGAAAACTCGTGTGTGCCAGGGCGGAAAACCACCTGAGAGGGACACCCGGAACATGCTTCATCTTTGGAAGTCTCCTCGGTCGTAACCTAGCAACAGGGGCTTACAAGGACAGGCATCTCAGATAAGCCCAAGGGCTCACATACGTGATTTGTATGAGCTCAAGTACATGGCATGCCAGTCAAGGTTGTTTTGGCTTTCTCTGACTTATGATAAAACACAGATGTCTTTGTTCATATGCGTATATAATCATGCTGAAAAAATAAAGAATTACTGCTTGTAGCTGACAGCAGTCCCGGGTCTGGTGGGTCCTTGGCGAGCAGCGTCTCAGGTCTCACAGCCCCTAGAGGCTCACAGTCTCTTTTTCTATACTGTACTTGTTCTTCTTCCAACTTCTCAGTGAAGGCCTATTCAATGCTCTACCGTAGCAGTGCTCGATCACTTTGTTCTTGGCTCTTATCCTGATGTATTTATCCATTCACATTTGTTTATTATGTTACCTTTGTATGCCAAGTGCTGTGATGTTTTACTGACAAGGGAAAATATACAGATTCTATGCCCCTGAGATCTTCCATTGGGTATATCACAGCAATAACAAGTCATTATCACCAAGTTCCTGGCCTGATGTGGTTTCTGTGTGTGGTGTGACCAAAGACACACCAGTGGTCCCTATGTATAGCTAGGTTTTTCAGTTTGGAGTTGAAGGGAGAATCAGTTTCACCTTTGCATGTGCGAATAAGTGAAGAGAACCAACAGAAGCAAATCTGGAGGTCCTTTTCTGGACCCAAAAGAGGATCACACCCAGGGTCTACCTCCTCCAATCACCCTTCTCCCCATGGTGGGGCATTCTCTTCCTTTTGGGAGGCAGACTAGGCTCACTGGGTTTCTACCTACTTTTTTTTTTTTTTTACATCAATAAGCAGAGAGAAGCAAATCTTAATTATATATATATATATTTTTTACATCATTTTCCATTTTTCACAATGTATGTATTTTCATCTCGGTTATAGTCCCCATACAATTCCCACCCACCTTGTTTTGATCCTACTCCTGACTCCCCCCACCCTTGTAATGTGTCATCTTCTTCTATCTACTTTTTAACTTCCTTCCTTGCTATTAAAAGCCTCAAGGAGAAAAACCCTGAAGAAGTGTGAGAAATTGAAGACCAAGTACAGGAGGTGAGCCTCAATGCGGCCAGCTTGGCCTTGGGCCCTGCTGTCAGCAATGTTAAATTCTACGAGACTGGGATGATGCTGTTGGTCACAGTGGTGGAGTGGGAATCTGGGGCAGGCATGCAATCAAATTTTCACCAGTGCTAACTGCAACCAAGGACTTAAAGAGAGTGCTTTGCTGTATTTATGTGTTTTCAAGAGGGTTTGGGAGTGGTGTGCAGGAGGAAATCTGGAACAATGCAGGAAGGACAAACTGCATAGCCTCCAGGGACAGCCCAGGTAAATCTGGGAGAGAACATTTATTCATTAGGGAAGATCTTAGGAAATGTCTACCTTTTTGTTTCAGTTTTGAATGTGCCACTTTAATCCAACCATTCCGTGACATGACACAGCACCTCTGAATTTTGTTGGGAAGCACGCTGCAAGGCCACTAAAAAAAATCAAATATTGTATAATATGGACAACAATGTAAGGACATTTTTATAAAATTAATTTAAAAAATTATAGAAATAAAAATATGCCAAAAGAAAGAAAGAAAAAAAGAAGAAAGAAAAAAAATCAAAGGAACAGTAGTAGAAGTGGGCAGGAAAAGGAAAAGTACCATTGATACCTTTCAATTTTCTACACTTTCAGAGCTGTACAATAGTTCAAAGACAATGAGGTGCAGAAAATGCAGGTCGTTCATCTACTACATATGATACCCAGTCATTTCACAGAATTCTTTACAAGGATTTTTTTTTTCTAAAAATATTTTTGCATAGGGGCCTCCCTGGTGGTGCAAGGGGTTAAGCACCACACTATGAAGTAGTCTGCAGCCTTTATAGCATGAGTTCGATCCCTGGCTGGCCAGGGAGATACCCACATGGCAAAGCAGAACTCTCCTGACAAGCGTGCTGCTCCCCTCAGCAGTGTGTTTCGGTTAGTCTGCCTTGTTCTGTTCCCCACTCTGTCTCTGATGAATCCTCTCACCAACCCCCCCAATCTCTGTCCTGTGTCCCAGCTTTTGTATCCATAAACAAATAAAAAAATCTCAAAAAAAATTTTTTTGCATGGAAGAGCTGGGATGTATCACAGGTGCAGGGATGAGTTGATTCATCAGAGACAGAGTGAGGAGCAGAGCAGGTGGATCTACTAAATACACTGCTGAGTGGAGCAGGGGGCAAGACAGGAGGTTTGCTGTGCCAATTGGGTCAGCCCCCTAGCCGGGGATCAAACTCAGGCTGTAGCCATGACAGTGCTAAGACTTAACCCCTGAGCCCCACACAAGGATTTCTAATGCTGGAGGCTGCATCTTCAATACCAGTAAGGATCTCAGACCATGTAGTTATTTAATTTTTTTCTGAATCTTAATCATTTTGTAAATTCCTAAAAGATATTTCTCAAAAGGGGAGATGCAAATGGCCAATAGGCAAATGAAAAAATATTCAGCATCCCTTATAATCAGGGAAATGTAACTCAAAACCACATTGAAGTACCACCTTACACCAGTAAGAATGGCACATATCAAAAAAAACTAGCAACAACAAATGTTGGTGAGAATGTGGTGAAAAAGGAACTCTCCTGAACTGCTGGTGGGAGCGCAAACTGGTCCAACCACTATGGCAAGATATATGGAGTTTCCTCAGTCTACTAAAAATAAAGCCACCATATGACCCAGCAATTCCACTCCTAGGAACTGCCTAAAGGACACAAAAACATTGATTCAGAAGAACACCTGCACCTCTGTGTTTATTGCAGCACTATTTACAATAGGTAAAACCTGGAAACAACCCAAATGCCCAAAAATTGATGACTGGATCAAGAAGATATGGTATATACACACAATAGACTATTATTCAGCAATCAAAAAAGATAAACTCATGCCATTCGCAACAATGTGGATGGAGCTAGGAGGAATTATGCTCAGTGAAATAAGCCAGAAGGAAGAAGGAAAATATGGGATGGTTTCACTTATAGCAGGAATATAGGGAAACCAAATAAGACAACAGTGTAAAAAAAATAATTGCACAAAACACAACAAGGCTACATTTGTGTTAGGGATTATGTTCATATCACTTCGGAAAATTGTAAGATAGATGTTTCTAGCTGCAGAAATAGTACTATATGTCTTTTTGAGCTCTGCAAAAATGCTGGTGCTTAACAGTGGACAGTTACCTGCTAGTCAGTCTCTTTGCCTGGGCTGTGGGTGGGTCCCAGGCCTGCCAACAGCACTGGGCAGGAGAGATCCTTCCAGTGCCCCCTATCACCGACTCTACCCCAGGCTTGCAGAAAATGGAAATGGAATCCGAATGCAGAAAGTAAATGTAAGAAGAGGAGCAGAGATGTTGCACAGGGAGGCAAGGGAGATGTGTACAATCTCAGTTCCTAATGACAATACATGGTTTAGTGTTAAGCTCTAAGAAAAGCAGTGAAGAGTTGGAATTTGGGAGGGGTAATGACACTGCAGCATTGGAGCAGGACCAACAAATCCAGAGACTCACAGCCCTTCAGAACCAGGGGGAAATGGAAGCTGAGGGCTGGCCGATGCCCAGGAGACGGTGCTGTTACTGCCTTCAGCACCTGCAACAGTCCATTCATTCATACATCTGAGTGAGTTGAGACATACTTCTTTTGTTAATCCCAGCACCCTGAGATACCAGTCTCTGACAATCCCTGCTAAGCAAGCATTGCTTTTAGATCATGCGGAAGTTTTCAGGACTGTGTCCACTAATTTCTCATGATCTCAGAGGACACTTTGCAGCCTCTGGAGATCCGGGGCGGTGTTGATCCAGGCTCAGAGGTGAGAGAAGCTCTGTGTACTGCCTCCTTAGGTTAGTTTTACCTACATCACATAATTTTTTTAAAAAAAAATTAAGTCTTCCTCTGGCAGAGGAATGAAGGATCACTTACAGACTGTATTCAAGGGAGCTTGTAGTTGTTTAGATGTTTTCCCCAGTATTCAGGAAGAACTGTGGGTTCCACCACTCAGATTCTCTACCCTCAGTCTCTTTACATCTAAATCTCAGTAAAATATCATAAAGTCAGCCTTTAAAGAATTTGAGTTAGGATGAAGAGGGTTGACAGGAGGTGACTGTGAAGCCAATCTTCTATGTGGGGTCTTTTCATGTCCTGACCCCTGATTCCCCAGTTGGGTCAGTTTCTGGAAGATTCATACCATAATGTGGTACACACAGTCTTGAATGGGATTTCTGCACCCAGAAACCCAGTACCTTTCTGTTTTGGGCCTGAGTCATCTGCAAGATATAGTCCTCCAAAAGAAAATTTTGAAAGAATTTCTAAATCCTACCTGAATCTGAGAAGTCACTTTTTGCAGGATAGAGCAAAGAAACGCACAAGAAGGATGCACAGGGAGATGAGGAAGCTTCTCACTTATAGATGAGATTATACATAAGACGGCAGTGGTTCAATATTTCTCTGGCTAATGTAGCTTCGGCTTCCTGAGCACCTGAATTTTTGGTTTTCATCAACAATCCATCTCTTAGGTTTCCCTGGGCATCCTTGGCCTCATTCCCCAAGATGGGACAGGAAAATTATTTTAATGTAAATTTACTGTAAAAACTGTGGTGTTTCTGCCAAAAAAATTTATCTAACATTTCATGCTGGCAAAAATGCAAGAATTAAACTTCCTGACAATTCATTTTAAAGTTTCCTTCAATGAATTGACACACAGTACATTCTAAGTTTAGGGTAAATCCTAGTGCAGGTTAAGGAATTTTAATTGCATCATGAATCCATTTATAGCACTGGTTTAGTTACTTACTGACCTTTTCTTGAGTTTTGATGTAGGAAAACCAAAGTGAAATCATACTGTGTTTACACCATCTTAGGCTGACCAATGATCATGTCCTAGGAAAACAGCCACTTACCCACTGTTTCTTTTGTGCATGTTTATTTGCGCTCTTTACCAATATACAACTTATGACTCTAGACATCTAGCATCTTTGTCTTACTGATCATTATCCAGATGTGCCACATCTACTAACCAGAGTACAAGAAGATTCCTGTCATGTATCAGGTATGGATCCTGCCTAAAACCTAAGCCCTGTATTCCACCTTTGGTACCGTGAACCACTCTATTTTTTCCCCTTTATAACCTTTAAGTGTAATTAACAGAACTGCTTACTTCATTCTTTGCTTTAAATGATCTTTTCAGTTTGTAGAAATTTGGGAATCCCTGAAAGATAGTGAAGATGACAGATAAGTGGTAGAAACAGATGAAATTTGTGACTTTTCAGGCTCTGTGAGCTCAATCTAAGATTACTATGAAAAGTACCAGCAAAACGGAATTTTAAAAAAGTGTATTTATCTCTCATGCAAATAGCAGTTCCAATGCATTGAAAAGTAAATTGAATTTACAAGCATGAATTTTATTTGATTATCTGATATAAGCAGGAAGAGAGGTAGAGAGAAAAATCCTTTCGAACACATCCTTTGGATATCAGTTTCTATTACTCAATAATCTTGGAAAATATTTCCTGCCAACTGAACCAGATCCTGAAATCTTCTAGTGTCCTCCAATATCTCTCAATGACTCCAAACTAATTTTCAGTTTTCCTCCTAGCCTTCTGATGTGGAATCATTCTGAACTAAAACTGCCATTTCTTAAGTCAAACTAATTATAGTTGAAGAACTTGTTGTAAACCTCAAAGAAGTCACCACTAGGGAAGATCACAGAAACATTCAAACTACAGCAAAACCTATCAGAATTTTACAGCCTGATTGTCCTTCCACTGAAAAAGCAGCTTTGGTTCAATCACTTATAAATCTTCTTCACTAACTGTCCACAGAGATCAAAAACTTGAGTTATAGTTTACTTCAATCATTAACAGACATTCCTATGGAATGTCTTATATTCTTGTACCACCAGCTAAAACCATCTGCATCATCTCCTCCAGAAATAAGACACAATTTTAACTGGGCTGATCTGTCCTTGGTATATATCTATGTCCATGACATAGATACTAACCCAAATTTTGAAATTGAAACTTCCAGGGGAGTTTCAGAGAGGAACATTAAAAGATATGCCTTCCAGGATATGTTCAGGTAGGCCTTCTTAAAGTGATCAGAACAATCCGCCTAACATGCTCACAAGCCTCTCCAAGATGCTCCAAATAGTCTCCCAACATGCTCAGAAAAGGACTTCCTATTTAGAACAGGCCCCCCAAGATGTTAAGAACAATATCCCAAGATGATTGGAACAGTCTCCAAAGGATGATCAGAAAGTCTCACCAAGACACACAGGACAGGACCCCAAGATGTTCAGAACAGGTCCCCCAAGATAGAAAGAACAGCTCCCCCCGCAGGATATTCTGAACAGGCTCCCCAAGATTTTCAGAAGAGCCCTCCTCAAGATATTCAGATAGGCCTATGCAAGATGATTAGATAGGTCTTCCAAAGAAGTGTTACTTTGACAGATGGATTATTTTGAACTGAAGTCAAGTAAAATCTGACAGGTTCACTAAAAGTTATTTTGAAGAATGCAAGTTGAGGGTCACAACCAGAATTAGGGTTTTGTCTGGAAATAAGCTTTCTGCAAGAAACTATTAATATAACAGGGCAAACAGAGCCTCTTGTCTTCTTCATGTAAGTTTCTCCTCTCTCTTGGAAGCCCCAGGCCTCTCTCCCATTCTTAGCTCAGAATATATGTATCTGTGTAGATTAACTGCAAATATACAATTAAATGTATTCTTTTCTTTTTCTAACATCACTGGTCTTAATTTGATAGCTTAACCAAATCAAGAAGAATCTATAGAGTGGAGAAAATTTTTCTTTTCATTCCAACAGAGCATTTCTCTAAATTCAATGAAGACATTGCTGTTATTTATGTTTCAAGATCATTTTATGTTCTTCCATCTCACAGTAACTTCTATTAATATTGGACAGAAAGGTAATAAACACCCCTGAAATGCAAACTCTCTGTTCCAAAATCCTGGGTAATCTCCCTGTGAGATAATTTCAGGCTCATGTCAGAAGGCCCACTGTAGGCCCCAAATGGACTATTAAGCAGAAAATTTGTTCCTACTAGAATTCTAGCTTACATTGCCTTACATTATCCATGCTGTATGTGGTTTAGACAATCTTACTGGTTTCTATTTAGCATGTACAATTCATTTTTCTTTTACATACCTTCCCTTTTACTTTACCATGAGTTAAAACATTCCCCAATTAGAAACATGTATATTCCCAAAAATACAAGCAATAATAAAGACACATAAAACTTCTTCACAAAACCCATTCTCCCCCAAAATTTTACCCTAATTACCATCAAAAGGTCTTATTATCTAATGTTCATAAAGCAAATTTTATGACACTGGCATTTTAATAAAGAAAGGGTTTATTTTCAAAGGTGACTAGTAAGGAAAGTAGAACTAAAATTGAATCTGCCTCTCTGTCCTGTAAATAGGGACTTTATTGACTTTCAGGGAATGGTGTGGAGAACAAAGAGTTACATTTTTTTAGGTAATTTGTGGGCTAAGAGCAAATAAAAATTGAACTTGCCTGAGGTATGTTGGGATAGTTAGCACATATGGAAAGGCTTTCTTTCAGAGCACTGAATCTTCATAAAGTAGATAGGACATTTGACCACCTGGATGGTCTCTTGAGAGACATAGTCCTCACTTCTGAATTTTGCCCAGGTGATTCCTTTTCCAGACTTCTTCAGTTTATGTTAGCAGTATCTTGGTTTTGGCCAACCTGGAATTTACATAATACCTAGGTAACATTTGATGTAATCAACAATTACATTTTATATCCCAATCTAAATTAGAACTTTATCACTGTCTTTTTGTGCCAACCTGTGAGACTCTTGTATTTATGAATCCTGGAGACCTCTTCCCCATCCCCTGGCCATTTTAGCTATTATTAGGCAACTGCAGAGAGAAAAAAGGGGGTACCAGATTTATCAGTATTCAGCCACATGCTAAAGAACTTGAGACAAGACCAAAATTCAGACATACAAGAAAATTTATAATGTTTATTTACAAAGGAAGTATGAAGAGGAGAAAGAGTGGGGGAAATAAGAAAGGAGGAGAGAAGCAGGAGGAGTGGAAAGGGGAGATCAATTGGTTAGCACATGGCTAAATATCATTTGTCCTACCAACTACACCAATATGCAAGACAAAACCTGAAAGGTAAGTAAGCAACTACCTGCTTTCCCCTGGATGCAGTTACTCATATTTGTAAAGCCACAGAACTTTCTCTTTCCTCCATTTGAGGATAAATCTTAGTTTTCAAAGGTTAGCATCTTTTTATAACTACCTTATGAGAAGGCTGTTTGCTCCCTTCAAACACACATGTACCTGTAAGAACAGGCTGCAGAGAGGCACAAGGGGAAAATCAAAACAGATCTGTACATAAAATCCAAAACCCACTAAAGTAAAAATTGTAAAAACCAAATGTTCAAAAGTCAAAATCAAAACCGAGTTATTTCTTGTCATCAAAACCAAATCCCAAGCCCTATAGGGTGTGTCAGATGCCACTTGGTGCCACATGCCATCCTATATACCCTAGACTTCAGCAGGAAAACAAAGTTAAGTTTTAAATGTCCCCAAACAGATGACTGGATCAAGAAGACGTCATATATATACACAATGAAATGTTATTCAGTGACCCAAAAAAAGATAAAATCAAAAAGATAAAATCAAAAAGATAAATTCCAGCAACATTGATGGAGCTGGAAAGTATGATGTTCAGTGAAATAAGTCAGAAGGAAAAAGAAAACTATCAGATGGTTTCACTACGGAGGAATATAGGGAAACAGAAGAAGGGGTCATAAAATAAGGCAAAACTTGCAGGCAAACTATAGATCTGA